CTTGGAATATTGAGCTAGATGCTCAATAAAGAGTTGTTATGCTAACAAAAACAGATAAACATGACTGACTCTGATTTCATAATTTCTGAAACTCAGTGATAGGTAAAGAAGAGATAATAATATTATCATCTCTACTTTTGGATATGTTTTAAATTCCTTTTGTTGTTAATTTTTCAGTCACTAAGTTGTATCTGACTGTTGACTGCAGCATGCCAGGCTTGCCTGTCCTTCACTATCTCCCAGAGTTTGCTCAGATTCTTGGATCACAGCCTTGTCATGGCGAAGGGGCTTGCATAACTCAATGAAGCAATGAGCCATGCTGTGCAAGTCCACCCAACAGGGGATAGTGAAGAGTTCTGCCAAAACATGATCCACTGGAGGAGGGAATGGCAAACCACTCCGGTGTTCTTGCCACAAGAACCCCATGAATAAAATTCCTTAGCAAGTTAAAAGAAAAAAGCTAAAGATAGCACCAAATCTCTGATATGGGACCACAGCCAAGAGACAGGATACTGAGAACAATAACAATAATGGAGAGGAAATAAGAACAAGTAAACTCTCCCCATAGGAAAGAGCCTGATCAGTGATCCAGCTGCACACAGAACACCCAGAGGCTGGCCTCTTCTTTCACTGGAGTAGGAAGCTTACTGCTTTGTCTTTATTTTGATCAACATTATGTCTGTATGTTAAAGGATTACACCATCACCAGAGTTAACTATAAACACAGCCCCCAGTCCCTGCTTTCCTGTTACCCACCTCCATCTTTCTTATTTGTTTTTGGCCACGCAGCATGTGCGATCATAGTTCCTTGGCCAGGGATCAAACCCGTACCCCTGCAGCAGAAGCACAGAGTCTTAACCACTGGACTGCCAGGGAAGTCCCTCCCTCATTCTTAGCTGTCTCTTTTGGTGTTACCACCTGCCTCTAAGTAATTGCCCTGGGCGATAACCGAATAGTTCAGCTTGGGCATCATCCACTGACTTCCCCAAATAGTGGCAGGCAGGCAGAAATGTAGTCTTTCTTTCCTCCATCAGCCCTTCAAACAACCATGCCACGCTCATCTCCACGCCTCCTCCATACAGGCATATCATCATTTTAATGAGAGAGATATTCAATGTTTACATAAATTATTACCGTTGCACAAAGGCTATTCACAGCAAAGCCTTGCAGTACACCATAATTATTTTTCTTTCCTGCACAACAGCTTATTTTCCCTGGAACTTGTTAATAGTCTCATGCTTTCATTTGCTTTGTTTTCTATGTACTTATCACTACTACAACCCCAACTCTGCCAACCATCTAAATCTCCTCTCCAGATGTTTCAGAGCACCAGGGACCCGGTCTTTCATCTTCCCAAAACAATCCCTTTGAGGAAATATAGAGGCTCAAGTCATGAGATACCTGCTCTCCCTACCCAGTGCCTGGCTTGGCTGGCATCCCAGCTTCTCCACCTACCCAGCAGATTCTTTTCACCTTTTCTCTGAGGATAATTCTGTCTTCTCTAGGTCTGACTTTCCAGATTCCCCACCTTATTCTGGGAAGTACGCTTGCCAGTCATTTCTTTAAAATACATGAGAGACAAATTTTTGGAGCAGGTGTGAAAATATCTTTATTCTGCCCTTCTTTGCCTGATTTTAGAATTCAAGGTAAAATACTTCCCTTCAGAATTTTGAAAGCAATGCTCTCTTGCTTCCTAGCTTCCAAAGCTCCTGTAGATGGTTCCCCAGCCATTCTGCTCCATCCTGTGTTGACCGCTGGTGGCCTGTCTTTGCTCTTTCTCTAGAAGTCAACACCATCTCCTTAGTCCAGAGTTCTGAGATTTCACAGCAGTGTGCCTTGGAGAGTGTGTGCATGGTTTCTCTCCACGTGAACTCTCACCATGGAAATTCTGCAATACACACCTTTGGATGCACTTTCAAATAAACTCCTTGCTTCCAAACTCTCACTAGTCACTACCAGAAATTCAGTATTTCTCCCTATACAACCTTGCTCCCCACACTCTGAATATCCAAATTGGGAACTGAACAGACGAGGTGAGTGAACCTGCATTTTCATCTGTGGTGCTGGTCACTCAGCGGGCCCCTTCAAAGGAGCAAGTTTTGGTTTTAGGATTTACCTTATACTTTTGTGGATGATTTTATCCCATTTTATTTCTTGCTGAAACTCTTACTATGTAAACCACCTAATCTGACCATTTAATTTTCTTTTTTCTCTCATTTTCCTTCTCTTTTTGCTGCTGTTCTATTTCCTGAGCTGTCAACTTCTTCTTCACTTACTGAGCTTTTTATTTCTTCCACTGTATTTATACACATGAGTCATCTTTTTTGGATTTCTGAATGCTCCTTTAAAACAAAAAAAATCCTCAGTCCTCTGTGGTGACCTTTTCCTAGATGGAAGGGAAACCCAAGGAAAGAGGGGATATATGTGTAAGTGCAGCTGATTCACTTTGCTGCACAGCAGAAACACGACACTGTAAAGCAACTAGACTCCAGTAATATACATAAAAAGAGAGCATCCTGTTCTTGCCTACTGATGAAACATTTTTCATCTCCATGTGTATATTAGTGACAGTATGCTTTTTAAGTTTTCTTCCAGCATACTCTCTACTGCTTCCAAGTGTGTGTTATGATCTCTGTCTTCCCAGTCAGAGGTTTCTTCACTTGTCCCTGGTTATCCAGTCCTATTTAAGGGGAAGGGGATTAAAAGAACCTGGAAGCTTTGGACTCTAGAAGGGAGTTGTTATTATTAACTATGAGCTTTGTTAGTGAGTGATCCAATTGGGCCTCCTTACTGTGGGCCCCTGATGTCATTATTTTTAGATCCTTTCTCAGGCTACTCACTTTCCCCAAAGATTCTTCCATTCTCCTGCCTGGAAGGAGAAGTACCAATTGATAGTATTCTGGGAGCCACACAGGCTCCATTCACTTCATCCTCTTGTGTTCTGTCCACCCCTTCTTCCCCATTCAACTACACCCACTGTTTCCTATCCCTCTCTGAAATGCAGTTCTCTAAACAGTTACAGAAACCACCACCTTGGTTAAGTACAGGAAGTGCTGAGTTACTGAGTCAGTTATCATTAAGCACATCTGCTGGCAAATGACTGGCGAACGATGAGCTTGGCTGCAGCCACAGACCCACTAAGTACTCTGAAACTAGCCACTCCTCTCTGAAGAAAAAGAGAAAGAAACAATCTAAAAACTGAAACTGAAGGTGTTAGTTTTAAAAAACTACAAACTAGCAGCATTTGTTTCAGTATTATCAATATCCTGTCTCTTATCCAGGAATGGCACTTTAACCTGAGACCTTTCTGGAAGAGAACCACCCACTAGCCTTAGCGACCATGCAGTAATGACAGTAAGCTGCATTTCCTCTGGCAACCATCCAACGTGCGCCTCTTCTGCCATCTACCCCTTTCCTGCTGGCGTTCCCCAGGATTCCCTTCCGGGGCACATTCTTTCTCTCCAAGAGCACATCTCACCCAGGATGGCCCACAAATACTGTAAATTTCACAAGTCCAAAAATCAAATGCATTTTAGCCCCTTCCTTCTCCGCATGTGCTCCAGTATTCCCTAGCTCAGGTACAGGCCCCTCCTCAGCACCCACGTGAGACATCCTGGTTACTTCTGCCTTTTTCCTTTCCCTCTCACCATATCCCACAGAGTGCCGTCGTAGTGTTGACTCTCCTGCTACTTTCAAGCTGACGCCCTTCTTAACTCTCAGCCACGTTTCTGACCCACGCCCCCTACAACTGTACCCAACTCAGTCTCCATCTCCTGATACCCTGGACCCATTTCTCCATTCTCACTAGGGTTACTTCTCTAAAACACATCTTTCACAGCCCACCCCAAACCTTGACCACCCCTCACCAAGAGGATAAAGTCCAAGCTCCCTGGCAAAGCATTCAAGGCCCTTCGATCAGAAACCTCGTTCTGGCCTTAGCTTGCATTTCAATCCTCAAACCCCATCCTCCAATCAACACAGGGGGCTCACTGCTCCCTCCCGTCAAACATTCCATTCACTTCCCTGGAATGTTCTCCCCAAACTTCACTCATCTCTCAAGGCCCAACTCACGTCAGCTCCACTATGGAAAACTTCTGCGACACCTAAAAACGGGTTTGGCTGCTCCCTTTCTTCACACTTGGTAAACACCTAGATGACAACACTAATCGCAGGGCATTACAGTCAGGCTAGCCATATTGCCAGCTTCTAGCCCTACTTGGCATCTTACAAAGGATGGGAGGCTCACTGTTTGCTCAGATGATGAAGGAGGTGCACACTGAGTGACAGCGAACAGCCCTGCTGGCTTGAAAACACCAGCCCAAAGTCTTACAAACCATCTGGCAAGAAAACGAAACATCCATGCGTTTCCATGCGGGCACTCTCTCAATTCTCAGCAGTGCTACCTTCAGGCAACAATTTCCTAGGTGTTAGCTGACACTTCTGTGGTACTCGTGTTGCAAATATAAGTGCATCAAATCAACACTCTGCACATCTTAAACTTACACAATGCTACATCAATTATACTTCAGTTTTAAAAAATCTTCCTAGTATCTCCTTTTTCACCCTGACACCAGCCCTGTCTCACATTCCCAACACCAGATGTTCACAGAGAAGGGCTAGACTGTGTCCTGGTTTGGGGGCAGGTGAGGACCAGCTGAGCTGTTTCTCAGCTGCCCCCTGCCTGGACCCACACATTAGGGACAGTCTCCTTAGAGATGCGCTTGCATCCACTCTCCCCCAATCCACATTCTCATTCATCCCGGGTCTCCCGAGCCTCTCCGGCGTCGAATCATAAAATAAATAATTCAATAATCACAGGAACACTATGGCTCGTTGTGCTCCGCGCCAGACGGAACCTCGGCTCCAGCCAAAGGCTCGCCGGAGATGTCTTGGTGGCTGCGAGCCCAAGTGGAAGATATAAGTCCTACTGTTCGCGAGTAATACATGGCTTCCTCGCGCTGTTTCTGGAGCAAAGGCTCATCTGAGTGGTGCTCTTCCAGGACGCGCCCGCCTCGGCCAGGGCTGCAGTTCAGGCTGGCGGTCAGCGGGACGGGGGAATGCCCGCGGCCTCGGACGTCCCAGGGCATCGGGCGGCCCCCCCCCTGCAAGAGGCTGCTGGGGGGACGCGTGCGTCCGGGGCGCCCGGCCCCGCGCCGGAGCCCCGAGCGCCTGCTCCCGCTCCACGCTCCCGACCAGCCCGATGGGGGAAGCCGAAGACTCCCCGGCGGCCGCCGCCAGCCCCCTTCAGGATCGATGCCCGGCAGCCAAAACGGGCGGGGGCTAGCCCCGACGGCGGGAGTTGACCGGCCGCGAGCTCCAGCGCCGGGTCCAGGTCTCTTTCACCCCCGTAGGACTAGGGCTCAGAGACGGTGCGAGCCCGGCCAAGGTCACACAGCGACGGCGCGGGGGCTCGGCCCGGGGCTGCGCTGGACCTGCCCCGGCGGCTGAGGGGGCAGGACCAGCCCCGGCTCGCCGGCGCCACCCAGGCCCCGCGCCTCTCGCCTCGCCTCGCCTCACCCCGCACCCCTCATTTCGCCGCTCACCTCACCTCGCGCGCCCCTCACGTCCCCTCGCATCACCTCACCTCGCGCCGCAGCTCGCGCCTCCAACGCCTCGCGACCGGCGGCGCCTCTCGACACCGCCCCTCCACCGGCCCCGCCCCCTGCTCCTCCTCTCGCGAGAAGTCACGGCCGCGGAGGGGCCGGGGACACCGAATCGCACCCCCACGCAATGCGCCTGCGCCTTCCGCACCGCCCCCGGGCCTCCCCGGCCCCTGCCATGTGGCGCCGTATTTACGGCTCGGAGCGACCCCGCCCCCTGCCGCCGGGAGGCCCGCCCCCTTCCCAGCAGCCAATCCTGTGCGGCCGGGCGCTCGATGCCAGCGCGCTGCTGCGGCCGCTCGGGTACTCCCGGCCAGCACCTGCTGTCTGCTGAGCCGGCTCGCTAGCAGCGACTGCCTGCAGGGCATCCTTATGAGCAGGCCCTGTGTGGCCTTGAGCAAGTGACTGAACCTCTCCCTGCGGTTGTCTGCAAGTCCATCAGTAGGGCCGTGACTTCGTCCTGCAGGGAGCTAGCGAGACTCAGATGTATGGTGCTGAGCGAGGTGCCCGACGCATCGTCAGCACTCCCCTCGTGGTTATTACTGTTTTGTTTTTTTTTAATTGGGGTAAAAATACACATGACATATTGCCTCTAACCATGTTTAGTGTACCATGGGGCAGTAAGTGCATTCATATTTCGTGCAACCTTTTCCACTCTTTGTCCCCGAGACTTTTACGGTCAGCTGTTCATGGTTCCTCCGGGTGAATGAGTTGCCTTCTGATGAAGCCACGTCTCATTCAGTCACTCGGCGGGGAGGTCCGACTGCCAGGCCCTGGAGGCGGGGGAGTGAAGGAGACAGGAAATTATCTTATTTACATATATTTATTTGTTTATTTTTGGCTGTGCTGGATCTTCCTTGCTGTGAGGCTTTTTCTCTGGCTGCGGGCCAGGGGAGCACTACCCTTCAATGAAGTGCGTGGGCATGTCATTGCGGCGGCTTCTTGCGCTGCGGAGCCCTGGCTTTAGGGGAAAGGACTTCAGTGGTTGCAGCACGCTGGGCTCAGGAGTTGCGGCCCCTGGACTCTGGAGCACCGGCTATAAGCCGGTGAGTGGTGGCTCGCCGGGTTAGTGGCTCCACAGCGTGCGGGATCTTCCCAGATCGGGGCTGGAACCGGTGTCTCCTGCTTTGGCAGGAGGATTCTTTACCACTGAGCCACCAGGGAAGCCCGGGCCTGCCCTGTTTGAAAAACAAAAACCAGACTGAGATTTCTACTCCTGCAGCCAGCCCCTTCTCAGCTCATCTCTCAAAGCAGGGGTCTCTGCACACCCTCCATTTCCCTTCATCCTACTCCCTGGAAGAAGGTTTCCTCCAGGAGGCAGGGGCCAGCCAGGCAAAGACAGGAGCACCCGGGGAGATGCAGAGACGCTGGTTAAGTTGCATTTCTGCAGTCAGTCAGGAGGTGACGGGTAGGTCTTTTTATCAAGAGGGTTCAAAACTTAGATATGTCACCTATGTCATCTTGTCTGTGTGTTAGCTTCCTGTGGTTGCCATAACAAAGTACCACAGACTGGGTGACTTAAAAGAAAATTGAGATTTAATCTCTCTCGGTCTGGAAGCTCGAAGTCGGAGATCAAGATGTCGACAGGGTGAGTTCCTTGCCTTATAGATGCCGTCTTCTCTGTGTCTCTTCACATTAACTTCCCTCTGTGTGTGTCAGTCTCTGCATTTAAACTTCCCCTTTTAATAAGGACAGTCACATTGAATTAGCACCGTCCTAATGACTTAATTTTAACTAGACTTCTTCTAGATACGAGGGGTTAGTTAGGACTTTTAGGTACCTTTTGTTGAGAGGGGCACAATTTAGCCCATACCAGAATTTGTCAAAACTTACAGAGCAAGCTGGCTTAAAATGCTTTTTCCTGTTATGTATCTATTAGAATACATAATATAGAATATCTATAGAATGATTAAAGCAAAATTTTAAAACATTACAATACTCCATGCTGGCCAGGATGCAGAGTAGCTAGAACTCCCCTGCATTGCTGCTGGGAATGCAAAATGGCTCGACTGCGTTGAAAACCAGTTTGGCGGTTTCTTAAAAAGTTAAACATGAATCTACCATACAACCCAGCAAACTCCACTCCTAGGTATTTATCTAAGAAAAATGAAGGCTTATATTTGTCCAAAAACCTGTATGCAGGTGTCTTTTTGTGGCTTTATTCATCATTGCCCCAAACTGGGAACGACCCCCAAACCTTTGACGGGCGGGTGAACAGACAAAGTGGGGCTCAGTTCCTCATGCTGGAACGCGATTCAGCAATGAAAGGAACAAAGCATCTGCAGCCACACAGACGACCTCAGGTGCTTCGTGCTGAGCGAAAGAAGCCTGTGGTATGAGTCCATCTAGATGACACTCTGAAAAGGCAAGGCTCGAGCGACAGGTGCTGTGTGGAGTCTGGGGTCAGAAGAGGGCTGCAAAGGGCCATGAGGAAATGTAAGGGGCGTTAGAACTGTTCTGTGTCTTGAGTGTTGGAGATGTTTGAGGTGGTTACTTGACCAAATGCACTTGTTAAAGCTCCCAAAACTCTACACTAGAAAGGAGGCATCTTGTCTTACCCATAAATTATACCTCCATTAAAAAAAAACTTTTAAAATGTAATTTCCCTGCAGCCAAGATCTTGCTAGTTATGAAGAAGTGGTGCATAATGGAGATGAAATCGTTTATCCAGAGGACCTGCATTTGGAGGCGCTCAATTGATGTTTCTACAAGGCCAGGGATTCCCAACGTATCCCCTAAAATGAGGGCCTGCAGAGAGGGACTGGGTGCCCCTTTGATGAGATTAAAGGGCTTCTGGTCAGAGAAGAATGGGACACAGTTTTAAATGTTTAATTACAGGCAGACTTCTCAGAGCCTTTGCCAGGATAAAGCTGTTGTGAGTTGCAGAGAACTTACCCACGAACCCCCAGGCCAAGCCCCGGTGGGTGTTGGTAAAGGTCTGTTTGAGCTGAGTAGGTGGTCAGGGGCCCAGGAGCCAGAACCTCTCGCTGACAAAGCCTTCCTGGGAAGGTGAGCAGGGCAGTGGGGCTGCTGGGTGGGTGTGAGGGGCTCAAGCTTAGGAACAGGGCGAGGCTCCCTGCCGACTGGACCTGGAGCTGAGATTAGGACCTCCCTTCCCTGGGTTGTGGGGAGGAGCAAATTCAGAATGGGAGCAGGCCCCCTTTTGGGGAGCTGGAAGATTTTGGAACCAGATAGAAGTGCTGGTTGCACAACATAGTGAATGTGCTGAATCCCACAGAAGTGTGCACTTTATAAGGGGTGATTTTATCTTCTGTAGCTTCACCTCAATTAAAAGAAAAAACAGTTCTTACGTTAGCAACCTACACTTTTACTCACCCTCTCTGAAATAGCTACGTTACCTCCTCATTTTGGGCTTCCCTGGTGGCTTAGCTGATAAAGAATCTGCCTGCAATGCAGGAGACCAAGGTTCCATCCTGGGGTCAGGAAGATTCCCCTGGAGAAGGGCATGGCAACCCACGCCAGTATTCTTGCCTGGAGAATCCCACGGACAGAGGAGCCTGGTGGGCTCCAGTCCATGGAGCTGCAGAGTTAGACAGGACTGAGCAGCTATCACTTTCACAGATTTACCTCCTCATTTATATACAGGGTAGCAGAGGCTCAGAGAAGTTGACCAACTAGCCAAAGACACAAGCTCAGTGACAGAGTTGGAATAGGAAGCCAAATTTGGGGCTCCAGAGGCAGAGCTCTACTACACCCCAGTGACCTCCTTGACTGGAAGGGCACCAGCCATGAGGGATCTGTGAGCAGACCAGTTCCAGCCTGGAGATGCCTGGCTCCAGTCCACTGTGACTTTCAGCTCCCCCTCCTCCAGTCCCCGAGCTTCTTCAACCTGCTAGGCCCCAGCTGATCATCTTTCCCCACAGCAGCATCGTTGGCGGAGACCCACCTTCAGGACCCCTGTGCAAAGGATTTAGTGTTCTCCCCTGGGCTTGCCATAGTTTCCATGTTTTAATCACGTTGTCCCTACCACGACTATTTCTGCTTTCATAACCTGTGTTGCAACAGAAAGAAGACAGAAGTAACTGTGGGTTGGTTCAGAAAATGTCAACTGCCCCTGTTAGAGCAGCTGGGAGATTCTGATTACTTCTGGGTGCTGAATTCTTGTGAATATCAAGAGGGTAGAGGCTGGGGAGGATAGAGGTATCAGAGTTGCAAATTCAACTCACCGTCTTTGCAGGTGACAAGGAAATTCAGGACAATGGACACACGAACCTCCCTGAATGATCTGAGCTCCTGCACCCTCAGCCCCACCCCATTCTCACCGCTGTGTTTCTATTTCAGACATCTTGTGGGTGGTGGAGCAATGCAGGTGTGGTCGGAACCCACTGGACGCTGAGGCAATTACAAAGCCGTGGTGTGACCATGCCAGCTCTCCCAGGCTCTCTGAGCTTCAGTTTCCTTATCTGTATAACACTTGACGTAATGACCCCTGCCTGCTATCGCGGTTACATGTAAAAGGAGAGATGGTGTGTGCCCAGTGCTGGCCCCTAACAGCATTTCTGCTGGGAGAGCAGCTGGGAAGCCCTGTGGTGGTCCTGACGTGGATGATGGTGCCTTAAGGAGATGGGGGGAAGAGGACGACCGGGAGAGATGTAGGAACAGGTGGACAGAGTGGAGATGGGGAGAGAGGGATCATGGGGACGCCTGATTTCCAGGTTGGCGTTTGAGCGGGTGATGGTGCT